CGGGTACATTGATTGTAACGTGGTTCGAGATGCATGTCCACGACGTTGCAAATTCTTTTTTTTTTAAAATAATAATGAGATGAGCCTCGCCGAATAAAAATACAAATTGTGGGGCCCTCAGTAAACATTTGCTTTAAATTACTCAGAATTCAGGAGGGCCGTTTAGCGAATTTCACAGTCTTCCCAAAATAATAACGCGATAGTCTCTTTAGGCGCATGTTTAATATTTTACTTTCTTAAGCCTAGGTTTGCATTTCATGCGACCCGAATCCAAATCCCAAAACATCAAATAAAACGTGTTCCGGATTGCGGGTGCATTTCATGTGACGCAGTCCAAAGACGCGTTTTAAGCGATGTTCACATTTCTTTTAAAAAACAATAATAATAAAGCGGTTAAAAGATAAAATTTGCACATAAGTTCATATTCGTATAAAATCAGATAATTAAGCCGAATATAACAGTTGAGCGACCGTGCTAGAACCACGGAACTCGGGAATGCCTAACACCTTCTCCCGGGTTAACAGAATTCCTTATCCGGATTTCTGGTACGCAGACTGTAATATGGAGTCATTCTTTTCCTCGATTCGGGATTAAAATTGGTGACTTGGGACACCCTAAATCTCCCAAGTGGCGACTCTAAAATAAATAAACAAATCCCGTTTCGATTGTCCTTAAATTGGAGAAAACTCCCTTGCGCCCTCTCGGGTGTGTAAAAAGGAGGTGTGACAATCACCCAAAAACATCTTTCTTCTTTTCTTTGATTTCTATTGCTAGTTTATGATTAATCTTATCTTAGTTTGTTTACCCATAGTTATGAGTAGCTAAATCTTTTGTCTAAGGTTTTGATGGAACCTATTGGGGGATGAACTTCTTGTTTATGTGAATACAAATTGCTAGTTTCAATCTTTATTTATTCAACTATGTTCTTGTTGCAGTTAATTGACAGGATCCTTAATTAGCTGTGCCTATTTATTGTGCATAACTCGGGAGAGAGTGCATATTTAGGTTATTGTTGAATAACACCACTCCTAAAGTATAAGAGGAATCTATAACTGCGGGTTTAAAGGCGGGATTAGGGATAACGAAGCCTTGGGTGCAATCTTAAGTGAACTGTGTTAATTAAAGCTAGCTAGTGTATCTCGGGAGAGTGCAATAGTATATTACTGTGATTACTCGGGAGAGATTTACGGTAAGAAAAGTGTTCATGATTGATAGAGGTGTGTTGGTAAATTTGTATGAAGCATAAACAGAAGGGATTCCATCAATAGGGGAAATCTTTACCTTAGCTTTATCTCATCATTGTTTACAACCTTAGCGTTTTAGTTTACAGCTTGTTTAATTTACTTGCAATCTTAGTTACTAAAGAAACCATCAACTTGTGATTCAAACATTTGGGAAGCTGGTTCTGAAGAGTTTAGTCAGTCTAAAGATTGTGATTGATAGGTTAACTCTCTGTGGGATTCGACTCCGGACTTGTAAACCGGATTATATTTGCAACGACCGCATTGTCCTTTTTATAAGTCATAGTTGGGCGTGACCAAATTTTGGCGCCGTTGCTGGGGAGTTAACGGAATTATCAATTACCATTGATAGAAATACAAAAATTCTTAGTGTAGGCAGTTTCTCTACACCCAATTTTTGATTGAAACTTTTGACGGTTGTTGACTTGGTTGCACAGGTGTATGCCTAGAAACTCTACTAGGATTGGAGAACTACTTGAAGGACTCTCAGACCCTGAGAAAATATTCAGGGCATTAAACCGTGCCAACAGAAGACTTCAACCACCTCAACAAATAGACAAATTCGAAACTGACATGGGAGACGCAATCGACCCCAACGGAAATGGCAGGCATGAGAAAGTCAACTTGAATGTCAGAGAAGCGGCACCCCTGGTGCCCGAAGGTGCACTGTATGACTGGGCACATCCCACATCTGACAATTTGGCTACTGCCATAGTTGTGCCCGCAATACAAGCTGAGTCGTTCCAGATCACAAATAACATGCTGCACTTGTTGCAAAACAAGGGACTCTTCTCTGGGACACAACTTGAAGATCCTCAGCAACACCTGAAGAACTTCCTGTCAATCTGCAAGACCCAGAGGCAGCCCAATGTCACTCCAAAGGCTATCAGGCTATTATTGTTCCCATTCTCGGTGACAGGAGCTGCACAGGTTTGGCTAAACTCACTCCTCATAAATTCTATAGCAACGTGGGATGAGTTAGTCAAGCAGTTTCATAACAAGTTTCATCCACCCAACAAAACTGCCCAACAAATTGATGAGATCGTGAGCTTCAAGCAGAAACCGATGGAGACACTGCATGAAACATGGGGCAGGTTCAAAGGAATGTTGGTTATGTGTCCACATCATGGTATTCCAGAACAGATGTTGGGACAACGATTTTATATGGGACTGTCAGATGGGTTGAAGAATATTGTGGATGCCTCAGCTGGTGGGGCATTCCTGAGCAAGACATGGAGTGAAGGTCAGAGTTTACTAGATAAAATGGCACAGAATTCGGGATGGACATCCAGGAATGCACCCATCACTCCAGTGGTGCACTCAGTGCCTCTTGATCCTTCAAACACTATGGCTGAAAATATGGCGACTCTCCTGACACAAATGAGCATCCTCACCAAAAAGGTGGAGGAATCAGGGCAGAAGCAGCAGGTACACATAGTAGATACTACCAATGGGGGCCTGTGCACATCTTGCATTAGTCAGCCAATTGGTAATCCTTGGAATACAGAGCTTGATCATCATCATCAGCACCCTGAAGATATGAACTATGTTGCTAACTATGGGGGTCAGAGACAGGGAAATCAGAACTGGGGTCAGCAGACTCAGCAGCAGTACAGACCACCTCAGCCACAATATAACGCCGGAAACATGGGAGGTATGAGACCCCCCAACAACATGGCACCGTATCCTAGACCACAGGGGTACAACAATCAGCAGCAGAGGTACCACCCTCCTCAGCAGCAGCATGGTGGAAGACAGGACGATGGGTTTGCTAGACTGGAAGCAATGATGCAGCAGGTTATTGGGTCCACTGCGAAGATAAACGAGAGAGTAGATGCACATGACGCAGCTATCAAAAATATTGAAGTGCAAGTGGGCCAAATTTCAATGTCTCTGAACAATCGTCCTCAAGGGACGCTACCTGCAGATACCCAAATCAATCCTAAAGATCAGGGCCCGAAGCAGCTGATGGCGGTGAGTCTCCGTAACGGCAGGGATCTCGACGAAGAGCAAGAGAGAGCTCGTGACAATATACAGGCTGAGACACTCATTCAGTTACCCATTGAGCTTGATGAATACACAAGGTTGACAGATGTGACAGTCCAGCCTGCTCATCAAGAAAAGAATACTCCGCAGGAGACCGAGAAAGTTGCTAAAACAGTTGAAGAGCCGGTAGTGGAGATAGTAGCCGAGAAAGAAAAGTCCCAAGTGATTGGGAAGAAAAGCCCTCCTCCACCATTTCCACAGAGGTTAGCCAAGCATCAAAAGGATGAGCAGTACAAAAAGTTCTTTGAGATGCTCAAGCAAATTCAAGTAAATATTCCATTAATTGAAGCCTTAAAGGAGATGCATGGATACGCAAAAATGATGAAAGACTTAATGTCCCGGAAATTTGATTTCCAAGACTTGGCTACGGTGACACTTACTCAGACGTGCAGTGCAGTGGTAACTAGACTTGTTGCTGAAAAGCTCTCTGATCCAGGGAGTTTTACTATTCCATGTACAATTGGAAACTTTGCTTTTGCGAAAGCACTCTGTGATTTAGGGGCCAGCATTAATCTTATGCCCCTGGGCATTTACAAGAGGTTGGGCATTGGGAGAGCTAGACCCACCTCTATGTTGCTGCAGCTGGCTGACAGGACTGTGAAGCGTCCGTTTGGGATCCTGGATGATGGACTTATTCAGGTGGGGAAATTCGTGTTCCCTACAGATTTTGTAATATTGGATTGCAAGGTGGATGAAGAAATTCCTATCATCTTAGGAAGACCTTTCTTGGCCACAGGGACAACTCTTATTGATTGTGAGACCGGGGAGCTTAAGATGAGGCTCAATGACGAAGAGATCATATTAAATGTGCAGAAATCTATGAGGCGCCCAAGTGAGTTTGCAAATTGCTCTCTTATTGATGCAGTGGATGTAATCGTACAGTCTGATGATTATGTGTTGACGATTAAGGATACCCTCGCTGCATGTTTGACGAATTTGGAGGAAGTGAACGGTGAGGACTTGGCAGAATGGGTGTTGGCATTGGAAGGTAGAGGGTTCTGGGATAGAGAACTAGAGTTCGAGCCCCTACACTTAGGAAAGAGAGAAACTCCTCCAGCTAAGCCATCCATTGAAGAACCACCGAAGCTGGAACTAAAGCCACTGCCAACCCACCTCAGGTATGAATTTCTGGGACCCGACTCCACTCTACCTGTTATTATCTCACCTGGTTTGTTAGATGTGCAGGTCCAACAACTTCTACAGGTATTGAAGGAGTGCAAAACTGTCATTGGGTGGACCATGGCAGACATCAAGGGGATCAGCCCCGCTTACTGCATGCATAAGATTCTGCTGGAAGAGGGGCACAAACCTTCCAGGGAACATCAGAGGAGGCTGAACCCAAATATGAAGGAAGTGGTGAAGAAGGAGGTGATAAAGTGGTTAGATGCGGGAATCATTTTCCCAATCTCTGACAGCAGCTGGGTTAGCCCAGTTCAATGTGTGCCTAAGAAGGGTGGCATGACGGTTGTGAAGAATGACAACAATGAACTAATCTCAACGA